AAAGCAGTGTGCCGCACTCCTTTGAGTAACATCAGTTTCTTCACAGTGCAGATCTTTTGGATGATGATGCACTGCTGTGTTCAGGGTCTTGCTTTTGGGTAGTTACGATAGAGCAGGTTCTGGTAGCTGAGTGAGTGTTCCCTTTGATTACTGACTTCTTGGGACTGTTTTCAATGTAACACCCAGATTTTCAGTGTATGCCTGTTTGTGGCAAAATGGGATGACCTGGGGACACCCACAGTGCTTCAGATGTGGTCTTGCATAATGCTTGTTGCAGAAAAATTCCCCGTGTCCTTCATTCCGCCCAACAGCTTTACAAAATAACATCTGTGCATGCAATCACCTGCTCTAATTTGCTTCTGCTGTTGCAGTTGGTTACAGAGCACAAAGTCACAATACAGACTCAGTGCAAAATAGAAATAATGGGGCCTTCTGTACTGAATGAGCGAGCTGTGAGTTTGGTCTTTCAAACTGTGCCTCTTTTTAATGTGTTCGTGCCGACTTAGATGACACACTGTAATAAGTGAGATCTATCAAAGTTTTTTGTCATGTCTCTCTGTCTTCACTTTTCTATGGTTTTTTTCCAAACCTCAGCTGTTTAATATTAATTTTTACTTACTAGATCTGTAGCTTAGGCTGAATTTTTTTAGGAAGGAGTTTGGTTATTTTCAAAAATGAGGCTAGGAAAAAAAGTATTATTTTGCCCATGCAGTCATCTTCTTTCCTCTCCCCAAGTTGCATTCTTGTGCTTGGTGTATGGTCTTGCAAGATGGTGGTGACGTGATGGCTAGGAGTTTTTGTGTTAAGAACATACCTTTCTGCTTTCCATGTTTAAAATCTCTTTTCATTTAGCCTTTCCTTGGGGATAGAGGGAAGGTCACAATTCTGCATGTGTTCAGTGAAGGCTGTTTATTTTTCAAACTCAGTTATTCTGAAGGTTTGGCTCCACGTTGAGCAGGAAGATGGTTGAAGAAACTGCATTTTGGGGGCACTGAAAAGAATAACTAGGTCTAAGCAGGAGCTTGAACTGCAAGAAGCTCTCGGATGCTGTCATGTGTAACAGCGTTCGTGGCTCCTGTGGAAGAAAGAAATGAACTGGTGGCAGTTGAGGAGACTGCTGCTGGTAGGGAGGCAGGAAGAAAGATGATTTCTTGTGATACTGGGGAGGACTGAGAGCCAGTTGGAGAAATGGGGACAAGGTGAGAAGAAGAGGTGGTAATCATGAGGAAACAAAAGACTGCAGCAGAGAAGAAAATCCAGGAGGATTTCAGGTAGAAAAAACAGGAAGAAGAGGGAGAAGTGTATCTGCAAGGAAGTGGTGTGCAGCAGGAGAGTAGGAACCAGATGAAAAATGAACAGGGGGAGAGGAAGGTGGGAGACTGAGCAAGGAGCTTGGGTCACAGAGACCAAAGCAGGTGAAGAACGTGTTGTGTGTGGTATACTGAGGGTGAAAAAGAGAAATCAATCAAGACAGGAACCATGGGAGTACTGGCACTGGATGGTAAAGAAACTGAAGATTGAAGTTATGGAGAAGAATACTAAAAATGAAGTGAAATCTGGGGAGATGAAGCTATGCGTGCAGTATTACAAAACCAAACTGCCCAAAGAAGAGGGTTGCACTCCTGTCATTGTGATTTTACAACGCCTCTGCTTTCCATCTTTAGCACTTGTTGAACTCTTCCACCAGCCAGCTCAGCAGCAGAAGCCTGTTTGAGCATCTAGCAAATCGAGTCACCTCACAAAGGGGTCTTGGGCGAGCAAACTGCTGGAATTGGGGGGGGGCTGTTAATAGGGGGAGCAGTATGACCTTCCCCATGTGAGAGTAGTGAGCTGTTAAATCTCCTGATAGATAAGAACTACATAGGTGAAGAGAAGCAATTTGAAGCAAAGAGCCTGCTACAGAAGAGAGGCAGGACTGAAGCAGTAACAGATTGGGAAGAAAGGGTCAAGTCTGAGGGAGAAGTTGGCAGAAGGATCAGCCTGTTAGAAACGTTCCTTTTCAAAATGCTGAGAGGATCTATGATTTTTCACTCTCACCTTTTCTTGCTGTCAGCAAAAATTTGTAAGAGCCAGAGGAAAGGTGCAGATTGTATATGGCAATAGTACGTTAACAGCCATTAGTAAAAGTGGAAGAGGTTTTTGTAGTTGGCCTAAAGACCCTGATTCTGCTGATAAATCTTGATATAATTTGAGCATGGTGGAATTTCTCCCTTCTTTGAAGGTCTTTACTTAAATTACACATCTAAGAAAGTAATGCTTTCTTCAAGTTGTAAAATAAACAAAAATAGGAAATGTAAGTGCAGTCTTGATTTGTTGCATTTACAGATATGCACCATTATTTTTAGTTAGTGTCTCTACCCAGAATAAAGAATGCACAGTATTGAAAGGCCTCACAAATATGTTGTTTCTCATCACAATTCTGTGTTTTACTGCACCCTATTCAAATCCTGATCTGAGTAGCTGTTAATTTCCATAAGCACTCTGTGAGTGATCTCCTGTAGTGAGATACTTCATTTCATACATACATTAAATTTCCACTCTGTTCTGCATGCAGAGAACTGAAGGATGAGAGTTTTTTAAAAAAAAAAAAAAAACACCAAAAAACCCAACACCACCACCCCCTGACCCCGAACCCACCTAGCTGGAGCCATTTATGATTATTAACCTGACAAAACACAATTCCACCTTCTGTTTTTCTGTACTGATCTGTAAATGAGACCCTAGGAGTGGAGTAACTGAGTAACACACGGCTAAAGAATGTTGTGGAACATATGGGCTAAGTCTGGCTTCATCCCAGGAGCTCTGCTGGGGTCCAGAGGCAGAGCATCTGTGTCCTCATTTTCCAGGGTGATGCATATGTGCCTTTGCAATGACATTGTCCTTTCCCTCTGTGCACTTGCCCATCTTGCCCACTCTAGACGTGGACTGATTTGTAGGTGTGGTCCATCCCATGGGCTTAAAAAAAATATTATATGTAACATTTCTAATTTCATTTCATGAGTTGCTGTTGAAATACTATTGTTTAACAGCTTGTGGTAGATTTTGGTGGGGTGTTTTGGGTTCTGTTTTTTTTTGGGATAGGGGTGGGACTTTTCTGGTGGATGAAATGCAAACAGGTGCTGTGCAGGAATTTTACACATAATTCTGATACTCAGATGAGATGCAATAGATGATTAAATAAATGATATCAAAAAATGAGACTTTTTTGATATCTGTAAGTCTGAAGCTTTAGATACCTAGACATTTCTCCTAAAATGTCTTATTTGAACACTCCATTTACTTGTTTAAACACAAGATCAAAATAGCATAGCAGTGGAGTATTTGATATCCATTAAAACAATAACAAAACCCAACAAGCATGAAAAAAAAAAAAAAAAAGAAAATGGCTGTGCCTCATGTTAATGCTATTCTCTTTAAAAGAGGCTTTCTGCTTTTGCATAAGAAGTTACAGTCCGGCTTGTATGATGTATCAGGAGTTCCTGCTTAGCCAGTATGTATTGTTTATTTCTCTGAATGTTTTATATAATACTGGGTATCCATGATTGTTTGCCTAACTTAGCGAAGGGTTGACTGTTTTCTTCTTAATTGTAATCTATACATCAACATTAAATAGCAGGAGCACCAAAGGTGATTGCAGAGTCCAAAGGCTAGTGCCGAAGCCACAGCTATTGTATCTGGATATACTCTTGTCATAACTAAAATATTTATGGAAATAGGTTTGATATGGCTTTTTTGTGTAATCTTATAACGTGTTTTAATTCTGTTTTTTTTGAGGCCATGGCTACACAGTCACCTTGATCACTTTAAATCTGGAGTGCAGGTCCCCCAACTCTCGCAGCCCTCCTTGTGCTTGCCCTGACACTTGTATGGCCGCATAGAGAGCCAAGCTATGGAATTGATGTAGCTTTAAAAAAACATATCTTTTTTCCTTCTGTTTATTTTCTAATAGATCAGTTTCCTTTCAGCAGCAACACAGATTTAAGTTGGATTAAAGTTAGCATGTAACCATGACTTGACCTCTCATCCAAGTATATCAGTGGGTGTGGGAAGTAGCTTTTTCTGGGGTTTGCTCTGTTTTCCTTTCATCCCTTGAAAGACGGGTTCCTATCTGAAGGTGACCATTTAGACACAAAGGGACAAATTCAGCAAAGCAGGCTCTGGAGATATGATGTCCCATACGCTATATCTGTTCTGTGGAATTCCTGAAATTTATCTGTGCTAGGAAGAGTTTTTTGCTTACGAGTTCCATTGCTGAGAATTTATGTATTGGCTTCCTTCAGCAATTTTCATCTTAGCTTTTATTTGGCCATAACTCTCAAGCAAACAATGTACAAGCACCTGGGTGCAGATGACCTGATATAGCCTCTTCAAATGTGAAGTTGTTATTGTATACCAGAAAAACTTAATCATTCTTTTTCTACATACTTTAATTTGTATTAGCATAATTAAAAGATGGGAAAGATGGATTTGACTTTAGGACTTTTTTTTTTTCTTATTGCAACAGGTTAGGCAAGTTCTTATTTGCATCTGTAAAATATGCTTGGGAAAGATGAAAATGATCTTTGCCTTAAGTGCAGTGCTCACAGACACTCTGAGCTTCCAGACAGACCTATTTTATGTAAAACGTTTAAAGTTAGGTAACTGTTTATTAATAAATATTACCAATTGGTATGCAAACTGCTTATGAATTTTGTAAAAATTATTTCAAATGTTAAAATATTCCAATATTTAATATATAATGTTTTATATAGGATAAAGTAGAGATAGCTAAAATAGCGGCGCTCTCATTATGCTAATATGGTGTCGGAGTTAAGGGACAGATTCTGCAAACACTAAGCTTATGACCTGATGTTACATTACTGTGTCTTGACATAGGTTGGAGCATTCATTGTAGAACGTATTGCTGTTCATTGTGTTTTCAGGATAGAGTTTGAAGCAAGATGTTCTGACACCCATTGCTTAAAAAGGTGTGGGATTTTTTTTTGTTTTCCCTTGCTGCAGGTGTGATGGACAGGTAGCAGAAGATTTCACTTTGATATCAGGGAATCAGAATGACCGAGTGCTTCCTGCCTCCCACTAGCAGCCCCAGTGAACACCGTCGAGTAGAACACAGCGGGGGTCTTGCTCGTACTCCCAGCTCTGAAGAAATCAGTCCTACAAAATTCCCTGGATTGTACCGCACTGGTGAGCCTTCACCACCTCACGACAGCTTGCATGAGCCTCCAGATATAGTATCTGATGATGAAAAGGAGCATGGGAAGAAGAAAGGAAAATTTAAGAAGAAAGAAAAAAGAAGTGAGTAGGCAACTTCTCTTATTTCATGCTTATAATTTCTCTTTCTCTCTTTTCTTTCTCTCTCAAAGTTGTTTAATATTCCCAGTGGAACTTGTTTATGTGTGAAGGAAGTTAACTTGTACAAACAGGCTTTGTGCAATACCTGTTTCTCTTCCAAAAAACCCCACACCTTAACAAAAAAATTGATTTGTTTTTTCTTGCACAGATACAGGTACCAAGCACGTGCCCAGAATTACTAACAAACGTATTTATTCAAAACCTTTAATGATGCATTGGTAATTGCCTGGCATGGGGTTCTTCTGATCGCATCATCTGTTCACATTCTAAGTGGAGGTTTCTAAGTGTATTTCCAAATAGATGTTTTTTGAAATTGTAGTTGAGGTGCTAGCTAAAATATAGCTGTAAGTTTGACCTGAATTTTGTACTTTTAAATTTGGAAGAGTCAGTTTCAACAACTTTGACCCTTTTTCCTTATGTCTCCCATATTCAGAGTTTACTATCGTGTACCATTTAAAGTTTTCATGTGCACACTGCACCATTATTTGAGGAGTGATAAAATCTGTGTCCTTTTTTTTCTCTAGAGTTTCTCAGTTTAGTCTGATTATGCAGTTTCCTCCAGTAGTGCCTAAGTGTTATTGCAGAGTTCAAAAGTGTGCAAGGGATCTGAACTTACTAGAAGTGATAGAGTAAGGGTTTGAAGAAAGTAAAGCTTTGACTGTGGAATCCTTTGTCAGCATATCAGTGTCCAGAATGGAAGTTTTCATTTAGAAAGCATACCCCACCAAAACAACAGAAGTCTTACTTCCTGCCTTTAGATTTGTGCAGAAAATTTTGGAAACATGAAATAGTTTTTACTAAATAGAATTTTTCTACATACTCTGAAAGAACAAAGCACTCGGAAATACTAAGCTGATACTGAGCACTCTCAGTACCAGAAAGATCCTTACTGTCCGAGTCTGTGAAACCTAAATATCACAGTCCAAATGCTAGTACTTTTTAAACTGACACTTGTTTTAGCAAAATTTCAAACTAATGTTCATCTTCTACAATGCCTGTATCTGTGGTGCCTGGAAGTTCTGGATGCCAGCATACCTTGCCACTTCTTATATGTGAAATTTGGAAGATCAAAACCAGTGAGACAGCACACGATATTCAGACTGTTAGGATAAATATGGTGACTATCTGTAATATGCATGCACATATTTAAATAATCACTCTTTAAGAACTTGCTGTCACTGCACTGCTTTTAATCCAACCTGTTTCCTGGAATGCAGGATTTGTTTCTGCCACAGTTTAGAAGGACTGTTGTTTTTAACTAAAGACTGTGTGTCTAAAGGATACCGTAGCTCAAAAGTATATTCTCCTCCAGTTAACACCAACAGTTTAAATTCCTGCAGGTTTAAAGCAAACTGATTCTTTAGGTTTTTTCCCTAATGTAAACAACATTAACCTAATACAGAGTATTGGATTGGTGATGAAAAAATTCAGTATTGATTGGATGGGTCTACATTCAAGCTATTAGTAGGGTTTTTTTACTTCTTTGCAAATCGGCTTTCTCCTGATTAGACACCTCTAAATTTGGGATTGTTAGAGGTCAGCATTATACATAGTGTGGGTTGCTTTGTGGTGTAATTCTGCATGCCTCGTGGTGATAGTCTAACTGAAGGCTGAAGAGGAAAAATGCTTCTTCAGCAAATATATGCAGGTCTGTGCACATTAGCACTGTAGCAGCTTTCTTCTGCAAGTGGTTACAGCACATTTTATTGCTGATGTAAAGCAGGTTTTGTTACTTAAAAGAAGCTTTAAAGGTACGAAAAACCCTCAAAACCACAAAAACGCAAAATGTAGGAAGAATCTAATTCTCTCTTGCAGCTGTAACATAAAAACCATTCAGCATTTCTTAGCCCTAATATAAATGTGTCATATAATTGCCGGTCAGGTATAAGGGTAAGTTACATACAAAGCCTTCAGTATCTCTCATACAGTCCAAAAATGGTCATTATTGTAAATATACCCTGAACAGACATTTTACTTATGTAAATGACCAGGGCTCTTTACAGTTGCTTAACATGGTGGATTTTCAGAGTTCCTCTTCCAGCTTTGCCTTTTGTTATTCCTTCCATACTTTTGATTCTTCAGTTTCTTCCACCTTTTAAATTCTTTTGCATGTGTTCAGATTGTTTCTTTTCACTTTTCTGGCCAGCTGCTTTGATTTTGGAGAATGCACAACCTGCTCTGGTCGTGTAATTTGGGGCTTAAACAAATATAATTGAACATTTCAATGAGAAAAAGACAAGTGTTGATACTAAATTATGACAGAGTGAATGTTTGCTGAACTTAGAATATTAGTGAATTAATGACAAGGTCATCCAGACTCCTGAAACTGTATGTAACTTTAATCTTACAAAGATTTTGAGATATTTTAATAATACTCTAAATGTAAACTTCAGAAATTCTTGAAGAGCAGTAGGGTATGTGGAGAGGGAATAATAAATATCCCAAGGTTACTCATTTTAGCTTTTCAGGTAAATCCTTTTTGCTGGAGTAATATACTCTTAGCTTCAGCATTATTACGTATTTCAAAAAACCATTTTTGTATGCTAGCAAGGGATCTTTTTTCCTATGTGGATAATATAATAAAATATATATATATCTCATAATAGACAGCAATTATTCTGGGAGGAAAGTTCTAAAAAAATTTTGGAGATGATAGAAAATTATATGGAATATTGGGGGGGTTTATGTGGAATGACAACTACTGGAAAAAAGTTTCAGCCACTGATTTCTATTCTCCACTCCTCTGTGACAGCCTGAGCATTGGTTAGCTGCAGAGTGACTTAGATTAGGGGACTTCTTAGGGGTTAAAATTGGTTTTCTTTTTACTGAGATAGTTCTAACTCAGATCTGTTTCCTGACTCAAAACAACCTTTGTCCTTGCAAGAACTTGTGCTGTGCAGTGTGCAAGCAAAAACAGATTTTTTTTTTTCTTGAAGCAATAATGCTTTATATGAGACAGTGACCAGAGTAATTGATTTTTTAAAAAAATTGTTAACCTTCTGTCAGTAAAGTCATAAAAGATTCAGTTCTTTGCAAAAAAAAAAAAGGCTGTAAGTAGTACTTAAGAAGAAGCAGCTGTTTTGGCCATTAGAATTTGTGTAGGTAGAGAGTCTGTATGTAGTAGATGTTACTCTGCTTGTTCGTTTTACTTCTGAGATTGATACCCTTGGGCAGGATGGGTTCAATGTGCAGCTAGGGTTTTTTGTTTAGAATAATTTTCTTTTTTTTTTTTTTAATATATAATTCATGGGAAAATGGAGTATTTGTTGAATTGTAAATTAAACTATCTTGTGAAAGGACAGTAGTATCATTGGTATGAACTCTTCTGAAATTTACAGGGAGTATTTTTGAAGACCAAATCCCTAATGCATTGATATGTTCTTTTGGGATGGAGATGACAGCTGAAATATTCCTCCTGTTAACTTGGAGACCTGCTCTGAACAACCTTGGGCCCAAATTGGGTGTTAACTTTTATTGTCTTCTTCCTCTGAGTTGCTAAGTTGAGGTTCTGGTGATCTGCACCACTCTGGTAGGTACCACCAGGTGGAAGATACCAGCCTATTCTCTGTTCTGTCATTTTAAGGGATTTATCTCCAGAATAACTTCTGCTCAGGAATGTGGATATCCAGCAAGCATACAAAAGCTCTAAAAATATTCCCAGCTGTTCCAGGTAGAGTAGTGACATGATAAGTTGTCTCTGTGCTTATGATCCTTCATTTCTCTGCAGAGTGCTCATGGAAACGGATCCTACAGTAGTGGTGGATACCACATGTCTATAGGGGGAGGTCTGTTAGAAATTGTAAGGAGGCCGTTGTCATCCTACAAAATAACCGAGTAGCTGCTATTGCAACAAAACATTATTTTTACTGATCTTGCATGTGGAGAAGCTCTGAATACAGTTTCCAGATCTGCAGAATAAGAAGTTACTAGAATTTTCTACCCGTGGTAAACATCAGAGGCTCTTCATATCAAGGTTTATCTTTCTGTGTAGCTACATCCTATTCTACTGACAAATTACTATGTATATCTATATACCACTGTGTATTTATTTAGTAAAGCACCATGTGCAAACAGTTTAAATGTATGCCTTTCAATGCCAGTGATTATTTTAAATCAAAATAAAGTAAGGCAAATTTCATTTTTCAACTTAATTTGCTCTCCTTGCATAGCGCTGCACAGTAATCTGAATGCAGAATTTGTTTGGGAGTGCTGTGCTCTCATTAGTGAGTTAAATGTATATTAAAAGCAAACTGATCTAATTGAAAGTGGGATAGTAAGTGTTGGTAGTGTCTGTAAATTTGAAGTTTCTGTTATTAATAACAATACATCTTGTGAGTAAGGAAATAGAAGCCATCTACCCAAGCTTATTATGCATCCACGTGTGTCTTACCATTTTATTTAGAAGTGGTGTACGAGTTGATAGCAAACCATCTGATAAATTGAAATTACATAACTAATGCTAGCATTGCACATCGGTCTGTGTAGTCATATTTGACCTACTAATTCTTCCATATGTAAAAGCGATCCATATTTTCTTTCAGTGAATTAATTACAGATGCATGCAAATTTTCCCAGGGAGCCAAAATCAGATGTAGAAGTATGAAAGACTTAACTCATCAGAGACCTGATGCACAAAATGTATCTTGTGATAGATTTGCTAAGTGGCAGTTCTACATACTGCTACCCTTTGTGTTAATAAGAAATACTACAGCATGAATTTATAGCTTCATTGTAAGAGTGCAGGAGAGGTATTCCCAAGCATGCAGACTGACAGAAACAGTGGCCTTGCTGCATGATAAAGCTTTTAAGTTTGTGAGTTAGATTTTTCCAGAGTAACACTAGAATTATTTTTATTACTATTTTTTAAAAGAGGTTTTCATAATTTTCAGTAAGATAAGGGCTATTCTTGCAGCACCACACTTTTAATAACTGCAGTGAAGGCATGCTTGTGGAAGGTCTAACGAAGCCCGAGTAAGGAACTGGCAGATAGTCCAGTTGTTATGCTGGTGGAATTGGAGTATTTATTGAATTAGTACTGCTCTCATATAGGCGCAGGAAAATGTCATTGACATAAATTAGCGTGATGGGAAAATGCAGACTATTAGTATGAGAAGTCTTGAGGAAACAGTGAACAGAAATACCAGTTTACTAACAGTAGGTAATTCTTCTTTCCATATTTAAAATTACCTGATTTGTTAAGTGCTTTCGATAATTTTTCTTCTGTATAAATTTAGGTTGCTTATATTTCAATATATTGTATGACTGGTGAAAGGGATACAGTCATTTTATTACCAGAAGTATGGTAAAGAAAATTGGGCTAGTCTGAGAGACATACAAACCCCTTCTTGGTGTGGGTAGGAGATTCTCTGTGAATCTGTAATTAGTATATATTTCTAAACTTTGTTGACTTACGTTACTGGGACAAATTAAAATAAAATAGGCTGGTTTTGTATTTAACTTGCGCCTTCATGTCTGCCCATGAAGTCAAGAAATACCAGTTTTGGTAACGTGCTATTGCTGGTGTTACATTACCACAGATCTAGAAAAGCACTGAGGTTTGTGTTGCGACAGGGCGTGTTGAGAGATGTAAGGCCGGTGCTCTGTTGGTGACACCGACCTCCAAGCTTGGGTCCCCTGTGCTCGCCCAGAGGAGGTGCTGAGGCTATTCCTAGCGTGGGAACGTTTGGCTGGGAGCTGCGACAGCTACCCAGCAGGAAAGATTGAGGGCAGAGTTTTCTGGGCTCCATCTGGTGAAGATTTGGCTTTCTGTTTGGAAATTACATCCGTGAACCCCATCTTGAAACTCAGCGCCAGCCCTGTCTCATGCTCACAAAACGCAGTGGTGATGTGTGCTCCTCCTTTGTCCCGAAGCTGGTGCATCAGCAGTTCTTTCTGTATCCCAGTGAGATTTGAATCTGTAGTTTAGACGCTGCTGGTTTCCTTACCCATTTCTGGGTTTAGTTTACAAACAGAGTGAATGATGGTATGGCCTGTAAACTGGGAGGATGAGACCTGGTTGCTGGTTGTCCTCCAGTTAACATTTGCATTTTTATATTAAAATTTACTTGGACAGAAACAGTGCTACAGTCTTTCTCCATCTTCTGTGAAAGCACCTGTTTGGTAGTCCTAGGGAAGAGTCCAGGATGGGAAGGGTGAACAGGTCTAACAATTGTAATTATTTTATGGCCGTTCCATGCTTTAATACATTTCTTAGCTTTTAATAGTCAAATAAATACACCTTCTACACAGCGGCCAAGGAGGCTTCAAAATATAGACAGCTCCTTGGACGAACTGAAATAATGCCGAGAAAATCTGCAGCTTAATATAGTTTAGAATTGGAAGAATAAAAGACTGAATGTCCCCTGGTTCTTTTGCACAGGGTCTTTCACCTGTAAAAATTATAGCCTATAATCTCATTTGTGATGCTCTCTCTTGTAATCTAAGGGGGTAATTTTTCACCACCTGAAACTACTCACGCAGGAAGAGGACTTGGCTGTGGGTGTGTTTCCTCAGGCAGAGGCACTGCCTGTAAGTAGTGGAAGAGCCTCAAAGGATCTGTGTAATGGGGGCTTCACGTTGAAGCAAGAACTTGCTGCCCACTGCCTTGGGGGACCTGGCTGGTGCAAATGGCACGTAAAATGCCACCTTTGTTGACCAGGTTTCAGGCTTACTTTTCTTCACAGTTAATTGACTTGGAAGTTGTGTTGGTTTGTATGTTGTTGGGTTTGGTTGTGGGTTGTTTTTTTGTTGGGTGTTTTTCTTTGTAATCCACCTTTAAAGATTCCCTTGTTCTTGCCTGAAGGATAGGCAGGGCTAGCTGCAGAGGCGTAGTTAGTAAAGGCACTGGTGCACGATTTAGACGCACTTGGTGTTTTGCTGCTGAAACAGCATACTCCACCCGTGGACTTGTTTGAAGCTCTCACATATACTTTTTAAGGCAAATACACAACTTCTTGGACAGGTATTGTGCTAGTGTTACTGGAATTGTTTTATGCGTCCAGTGGAAAAGTAAGTGTGCTTTGGGCTTTCTTCTTTTCTTTTTTTACACTTTTTTGGTATTTTATTTAAGACTGAAACTTTATTGACTTAATACTTATCCTAAAATTAATAATATTCTGGAAAGGGATTGGGGAGTTAAGTGGCTGAAGTTTAGTTTATTCTAATAGAAGTTTGTTAGACTTACGTGTATGTAGTAGATGGTCCTTAACTCTTACACTGTTGATTACAGGAACGTAGAGAAGTTTCCAGTTGTTTTTATTTTGCATTTCCTTGACTATTAGATGGGAAACTAGCCCGTAAGATGGACATTGCCATTATGAGTAAGTATATATAAAGTATTAACTGTTTAGATTGCTCAGGTGCTGTGTGGCTTATCTTTGATGTGATTATGCAACCTTGATTTAATCCTTGTCCACTTAATTGTGGAACAACTAAAGAAAACCTTCTGAAGAGTCAGGCAGGCACTGTGTTTTAATTCACGTTGCTTCTTCTCTCTCCTCCTTACATATTACTTCTTGTTCTCTCCCTGTTGTAATACGCCACCTAGAAACTAAACAGACTTACAACAGTCCTCTTGCTTTCTCTTCCTTTGCCTAACAGCGGAAGGTTATGCTGCGTTTCAAGAGGACAGTTCCGGTGATGAAGCTGAAAGTCCTTCAAAGTTGAAGCGGTCCAAGGGAATACATGTCTTCAAGAAACCCAGCTTTTCCAAAAAAAAGGAAAAGGATTTTAAAATAAAAGAGAAACCCAAAGATGAAAAACACAAGGAAGACAAACATAAGGAAGACAAACATAAAGAGAAGAAGTCAAAAGACTTAACTGCCGCAGATGTTGTAAAACAGTGGAAAGAGAAGAAGAAAAAGAAAAAGCCAATTCAGGAGACAGAAATACCTCAAGTGGATGTTCCAAGTCATAGACCCGTGTTTGGCATTCCTTTGTCTGATGCGGTAGACAGGACCATGATGTATGATGGCATCCGCCTGCCAGCAGTTTTCCGTGAATGTATAGATTACGTAGAGAAGTATGGCATGAAATGTGAAGGCATCTACAGAGTTTCAGGTACTCTGGGCACACTGACATGCAGGCTCCTAAGGTCTTTACTTGCAATTTCCTTCTTATTTTGCCATTTTCAACACCTAGAGACTCTGTTTATAGCTGCATTAATTTTAATTATCCAGAAGATAATTGGGTAGCTAAAATTAACAAATCCCTAGGTCTGAAGTACCAGAAGAGTTGCTAATATGGTGGTACTGCTTAATGGCAGTGAAATACACTTGGTTTGGCCTTTTATGATAGGCCGGTACCAATAAATTAAATGTGTTAGTATGGCCAGCTTGTATTTTTGTACTTCTGCGTTAGAAATGCAATGCTAGTTGATTGCAAAAGCAAAGATGAGATATAACCATTTTATTACTTAAGCTTCCCACTAAGTTGCTTTTTCCAGTTACTTCCATTGTATGATTTTTTTTTTTCTTAAAAACTTCTTTTCTTTCAGCAAATCCACTAATAAGCAGAAAATAAAAGTTTCGCTATTTAAGCTTAGCAACAGCAGGCTAATTAGCCGTGGTAGTTGCATAACATCAGCTTACATAAATGAAACATTGGTTTTAGTCACGTTAAACAAAACAGTCCCTTTATTTGTGAACGGCATCCGCAACGTAAGTCGTGTAAGTACTTCTGTATGTTTAAGGGAGCAAGAACGAGTGAGAAAAGGAACTTGAGGAAAAGCATTTGAAACAAATTGCCTAGCACTGTAAAACAGTAATCAAATGATTTTAAAGGCTTCATTAAGCTGTCTTCATGCTGTTGATCTGCATGGTGTTTGGTAGGCATGCATAAATACTGCAGCAGCTTAAGCAGTTTCTTCATCTTGCCTATTGGAACATTCCGGTTGTGTGTTTATTCAAGACACGATGTGTTGGGAATTTTCTCAGAAGAAGGTGTGTTTTCCGGACTTTCTAGGTGTTCTCCAGTGCAATAGCACCCTCTTGTGTGTGTAAGATTGTTTAAATTGAGAGCCCAGAGAGACGACTGCAGTGGCTTAACAACCTACCAGCCGTTGTGATGACACAAATTATTTGGACATGAAGCTGAGCACATCTAACCTGGCATTTACTATGGGCTGAGTGCACCCAGTGTTGCTTACTGTGTATGAGCTAAGCTGCGGCAGCGCATTAAGTCGGGGTAGCTCAAATGGGTGTTTGAGCTTTAAGAATGAAATTTCCCCAAGTTTGGGGAAGATTGGAATGTCACTGAGTGAGTTATACAAACACATTACAGAAAGTCTTGGCTGGGTCGAATAATTGTACGAACACACTTTTATTCATGCAGTGCCTCAAATCAAGAATCCTTCCTGTGTGAGATTCCTCCGCTAAGGAGGGCCAGCTGGAAATCTGGAAACTCAAAAGTGTGGGGTTTGTTTTGACAGAAGAAAGCTGTTATAGGTAGAACTTGTTGCACAATATTTGAGTTGATGACATATTTGCTGCTTGGCTTTGGGCTGTGTAGTTGAACAGCCTGAAAGACGCTGAATGCAAATACACAATTGAACTTATGTTCCCCTATCCTTCCTCACCCTAGGAAGCAGTTCCTTGCTGCAAGGGAATGCAGAGCTGTGGTTTTGTGTCATTGCAGTAGTCAGTGCTTTTAAAAACAGTCTTCAGCTCATTTTGAGTCATGATTTTAACTTTATTACATGTGGATAACCTTTAAATGGTATTCCTCAATTAGCTTAAGTTGTAAGGCGAGGTGAAGTAAATGCATCTCAAAAATGAAAAAAGTTTAAATATAACTATATTTATACATTCATAGTTGAAGATTTGTTTTAATTCTTGATTTAAATATTTTAAGGAATAAAATCAAAAGTTGATGAGCTAAAAGCAGCCTATGATCGTGAAGAATCTCCCAACCTGGAAGAATACGAGCCCAATACAGTAGCCAGCTTGCTGAAACAGTACCTACGAGAACTGCCTGAAAATTTGCTTACCAAAGAGCTAATGCCCCGCTTTGAAGATGCTTGTGGAAAGAGCACAGAAGCTGAGAAAGTTCAGGAGTGCCAGAGGTTGCTGAAAGAGTTGCCAGAGTGTAACCATCTCCTAATTTCTTGGCTGATCGTCCATATGGACCATGTTATTGCAAAGGAACTGGAAACAAAAATGAACATCCAGAATATTTCCATAGTCCTCAGCCCTACTGTCCAGGTACGTGCACCACACAGCAAGCGGTAGAGCAGAACTTCAGCCCAAGAAAGACTTCTTTGTAGGAATTCGCTTGCAGGTGGGAAGCGGGGAATTGTCTGAGACAGTTAAGCTAAATTATAACTTCTCTTTATACCTTGGGAACATAAAATGCTGGGAAAGAGGGAACAAAAGACTTTCTGAATGTGAGCTTGCATACTACAGGCCTGATATTTGGGGTATTATGAGAGTATTGCAAAGATTGCTGTCAGGTTTTTAATTCCTTTGCAAACAGAAGTAATTTAATGGTGAATTTGTCCAATAATTCATGCAGATACACAGTTTCTGTGGGCTTGTGAGTCAGTGATAATTCAGTGAAGGCAAGATTGTTGCTTAATTTTAATATCAAGCCAATGATGACCCCTGTCTTGCAAATAGAGCAACTTGGTGCAGTAATGAGTTGGGTATAATGGCTGTGGTGTCTGCAATCAAACAGCCAGGGAAGAACAACTGACTTTTAGTTTTCAAGACGATTTTGTGGTTTCTGGGTTCATTAATTGCTTACTAAACATCTTGGAAAGATGTAATTTAAATGCAGCTCAGAATTAGTCCTGTGCATAAAGGAAACATGGCATTATTGGGTGTGGGTCTTCTAGAAGCAAGCCCTCACTTTAGAAAAGCCTGGCTTTATAATTAAGAGTCTAGGTGGAAGCCTAGTAGCAAAAGGGCCGGGTTTTACTCTTGGCCGCTTTGCTGTGCTGGACACTTTCTAGCTAACAAAAGAAGTAACAATTAATGTAAAACAATGCAGGCCCAATCATGTTTTGTTGTTAAGTAGATTTTAGCAATTAGAGTTCTGTCACTGCCTTCATTTTAATCTTTCTTTCAGGATAGATTTTGAGTTTTAATGGAAGATACAGTATAAAAAGAATATTTGCTTCTGTCTCATGTTGAAACAAGGAATAATACAGTAGCAGCTTCTTTCAAACTACTTTTTCTACTTTATTAAACCATCTGAGAGAAAAGTTGTAGCCAATATTTGGAGTTTGGAAGAAGAGAGAGAAGGTAGCCAGCAACCAGCTATAGTTGGTGTTCCCTCTTGCCTGTTGCTGTCACTAACCCCCTTTACATGAGTAAAAGAAAGATTTAATACATTTCTGTATCTAAAGGTGATGGAAATAATTGTGGTAGGTTAAGATGTGTGAAAATTCTGAGCTTAGCATGAAAATGCCTCAGATACACAGGTAAGAGAGAGAGTGAAGTGATTTCTTGAGGCCAGCACTGGGTTGTTTAAAGTATCAGTTTTAATCCAGATGTTAATCTCTGGACAAACTAACATGACTGTGACTCACAGAAAGGCATATTAAAGACTGTTTTGTTTCTGGAGAAAGATTATATGCTTCACAGGTAAAGATGATGTGAATAAATCAGCTTAAGCAATACTTTGTCCGTCCTTTCTTTGCAGATCAGCAACCGTGTCCTGTATGTGTTTTTTACACACGTTCAAGAGTTCTTTGGGAATGTGACCCTAAAGCAGGTGACCAAACCTCTTCGCTGGTCAAATATGGCAACAATGCCAGCACTTCCAGAAACACAAGAAAGCATCAAAGAAGAAATCAGGCGACAGGTTGGCAATTACTTTAGTGGTTTTCTGTTTGATCTTTGTCCTGGCTTTTATACATTCAGCAGTAAATTCTCATAAGCTTTTAACATACTCTTTAATTCTATCACAAGTGTCCTGTCAGTGGAGACCAGTGGAAAGAGAGGAGTGATATTCTTGCCCATTTCACATGTGGAAAGTTGTTATGGTCTTGCAATGATGAAAGCCATGGATTGCTGTGCTATGGAGTTCACTACTGTTACCATGGGAGGAGAGTTAGGAGAACATGTTGGAGTGCGGTTTCTTTCATATCGCTCTTCAGCTAGTTCTAGATCATGTGCTGAGTGGATGTTAACACTTGTTGCTCAACATGTCAAGCACTGAAAACCAGAATTCCAAGCCTGTGCTCACAAAGCCAAAAAGATTTTTTTTCTTTTCAGTCTGTCCTGCTATGACACGCGAAAGGCACTAATTTCTTTGGCAATGTTTCTAGGAGTTCCTACTCAACTGTTTACACAGAGACTTGCAGGCAGGGATAAAAGACTTATCCAAAGAAGAGAGACTCTGGGAGGTGCAAAGAATTTTAACAGCTCTTAAGAGGAAACTAAGAGAAGCTAAGAGACAGGTGGGTAACTTTTCTATTCATTGGCCAAACATCTAAATCATGGATCCCTCATTTGTGACAAGACAGAGGCACCCAGTCAGTCAGGTCAAACCACGTTTCAATCTTTTTACTGCAGAGTTTTTCATCATAACTTTACATGGCTGGGGAGCCACCGCATGTTCTGGTGCGCTGGCTCTCCCTAGGCACAGCAAGATCTTCACACTCCTTCACAGCTGTTTACAAAAAGAAATATGTAGGATTAAAAACTTAAAGTGTTTAACACAGCATGTATTCATTGTATGCTTAAAAGAGTGGGCCCTGGAGTACCACAAGGAATTAGTGGAAGACTCAAAAGTTAAGAAACTTAAGAAGCATTTTTTTTTAAACTGTCATATATCCCAGAGAAGGGACAGACTTTGCTGAAAGCTTTCAAGACAACAGAGATGGTGGTTCTAAATTTGGAAAATAAGACATTCAAAAAAATATATCGTTGTTCACAGTAAATAAAGTGACTGTGGAAGCTGTCCTTTTAAAAGTTGTTCTCTTTCTCTGGCAGGAGTGTGAAACCAAGATTGCACAAGAAATTGCTAGCCTTTCAAAGGAGGATGTCTCCAAAGAAGAAATGAATGAGAACGAAGAAGTTATAAATATTCTGCTTGCACAGGTAGAGAGCAGGCACTTCTCTGTTTGTCTGCTGGTATCTTCTTGTTCTATATCTTCCAGAAATATTAAACACACTTTTGTTCCTTCTAATGCAGTGGGAAATCAAAGACTTAAAGGAATTCTCTCTGTCCATTAAAATAGAAGGCTTTGTCTGACTAAAGTCAGGAAGAATGCTGGCTGCGGGAGCGAACCCAGAGCCGAGTAGACTCTTGTTAACAATGCACTTCCAAATCTAACCGGTTTTAATACCGTTCACTACTTTCCTGCT